ATTTTTAGTACTTTGTGGGAAGTTTGAGGTTTATTTGATATCTGCAACAAGTTTACAAAAACTTTGTAGATAACAGTTTGTGAAAAGTTCAAGAAAAGCTTAGACACTGTTTAACAATTTGGGCATTATTCTTACAGGTTGTGAAGAAAATACAAGAAACATATAAGTTTACTTTCAGTTTGCGAATAGTATGAAAGAAAAATTGAAGTTTTGATAACATGATGATACTTGAAAGAGCAGGGTGCCTCAAATACAGTATAACAGACAGCTGGTCTTCTCTGTCTGGGTCAGAGTTAGAGAGGTCGTAAACAAACACATTTTCCATTAGTCTTACTGTAGTTTCATATTTTCCTAACTGTTATACTGGTATCCATTAAAATTTGAAGCGGTAGGCTGTATCAATGTACAGTTAAAATAAATAAACTTATCTATGATTCTCCAAAAATTAAATGGAAAGGCTAAAGATGCGTCTCTGTATTTTAATTTTGGAGGTTAATCCACCACTTCTCACCTTACGCAGCACGTGACACTTCCGGGGGGTGGGGGGGGGGAAGAGAGAGACAGATCTGAAAATGGCATTTCGACCAACAACCTTGCGCCGGCAGAGACGTAAAATATGCTTTCTTTATTATTCTTCTGACTTCACTGTGCGCAGTACTGGACCAATGTGTACCTCACAAAGCTTTCGGTCACACCCTGGCCTTCCTCATTGAATGTGATTATCAAATATATAGCTTCAGCATTGCGCAGAAATTGAAAGTTTTAAAATATGATCAATATCAATAAACAACTGTCCTGAGTACCAGGGCAATGTAAAGCTAGCTTGCTCACTATACCTTTTCATGTGTTGGCTTTACAGTACCACTGAAGAATAGTGCTCTGCAGTGAATCTGCAGTTGAATGTAATTAGTCCAAATTGAGTGAAAAATGAGACGAAAAACAGGTTTAATTTTGCTTTATTTATTTTTATTTACTGTATTTAAGATTTTAATTGAAAAATAAGTAATACATTAAAAAGGATATTTCATATGTTTTTGTATTTTATTGCCTATCAAAAAAAAAAAAACATTTATTCCTGAAAATATAAACACAATAGACGTGATTGCCGTGTGCCAAGTTTGACAGCTGTAGCCGATACCACTATAAGGAGTGGACAATGGTTATAACAATAAATCGGTTTTTAAAGCAGTGCTTGTGGTGTGGCACTGATTTCAGATTGCGAGGTATTCTTAGTTCTAAATTCAAACACTTTGCTTCTTTGTTCTTTGTCTCGATTGTATCGTCTGCACGAGACGACGTCAGCTCAAGGCGGGAAAGGCAGCTGAAGGCGGGACAGAGCTGTGACGTATGAGAAATGTGACTTCCAGATATGGAAGCGCCCCAGGCAAAATTTTGCTGAACAAAATACCGTCCGATAGTGTCAGTATTGGTGATCTGAGTTACATATGGTATCAAGATCGAGCTGGTAATACCGAGGGTTTAAACAACATGTGGTATAGAGTTTCATCAGAATAATAAATGACAGTGGATCATAATCAAAATAAATAAGTACATGTATAATATCTAACCTAGAGAAAATACAAAGTTTGCATCAGACAAGCAACACATTTCTATCAGAATATTAGCGGGTCGTGATACAGAAAAGCAGGGGTGGATTAGAATCAGTGTCCCCGCAACTTGGAGGCGTAAAAGACCATGTGGTAAAGGGGGAACCAATAAACAGAATTATTCAAATGTGAACTACTGTCATTGGTTGGTTGTGTCAAGTACCGGTATATGATGAGGGACGGCTTGACACGTACTGGTAGTCTTTTTAGTGAAACAGACTTGTTCGAGAAGTCTCATTATCCAAGCTGACTTCAGTTAGTGAAAACGAGGTAAGTTTTGTCTTGTCGAAAAAATTATTTTATCAGTGCTACTCTCACTTTTAATTTATGGTGGAATTGGCGTTTTATACAATGTACCTAAGTGTGAGACATTGGGGTCATACTTATTATGTTTTCTATGCAACCATTTATAGGTACTTGGGTACGTGATAAAGTAGTTATTTTCACATTTTGATTGGGAAAAGGCAGCAATGGAAAATGAAACACAGGCGAATGGAACATACTAGATTAAATAAAACAATACAAATATTAAACAAATCACTTAGGTCACTTGATGTAAAATTTAACAATATCAAATTAACCAGGACAATAACAGCAATCATTGATTATTTCATTTGTTCAGCTAAATTTTCAGCATAGAGCTTGATCCTTAATTTGCTTTCCTTTCTTATATTTATATATATTTCATAAGTTAAGGTGAATTGCCAAGTAAATTAAGTTTATAAAATAATTATAAAGTTGAAAAGAAAAAGGAGAGCGAGAGTTTAGATTTAAGTATTAGAACATCCATGTGTGAGAGACGAGACTCAAGCTACTGGATGAACATACCAACATCTTGGTCACCTTTATCAAACATTTCTCACGGCTGAATTCCTGTTTTATTTTAGCATAAAAGTACAGATCACTAAATCTGCTAAGGAGCGATGATTTTATTGATCTTCTCCAGCCTTGTTGTGGGGTTGATGGCGATTGGCAATTACAGTTATGTTCCCGATGAAACGTACTGTAAGTCAAGTTGAGAGTACTTTTACCTCATTTTTTCTTTAGGGGCTGGAAATGAGATTGACAAGTTGTAGAGCATCAAGTAAACTTATTAATATGTGTCCGATGTGGATAATAATTTTGAATTAATATACACAAATACCTGTGTAATTTAAGCACAAATCATGGGTTGTGTTATCATAAAAATAATAACAAATCTAGGATTAATTATCAATCCAAGATACATTTCAGTAATTTGAGCTATGCAAACTGATAGAGAATGCCCAGCACGTTATTACCTGTGCATTTATTTTCAGTCGGGTGCTGGCCCAACCCCTGCGCAAATAATGCGACATGCATAGAGGGTGAAGATGCAAATCCACTTGTCTATTACAAGTGCAATTGTACCGAAGGTTATTACGGATACAAGTGCACCATCGGTAAGTCGTTCAGGACTGTTGAAGTCCGCATATCTGAAAACTGCTTTTGGACTGGCTTTATACCAACTTATAGTTCTACATTGTTTTGCAGAAAAAACAAATATTCAGGACAAAAAATTACGATCAAAATAAGGAAATTATTTGAGCATCTTTTTTATCTAAAGCAAACCGGTAAGCAGTCTTTTTTGCAGACAAAGAAAATCCCAATATGCACCTCTGTATGCAAATAGACACCACAATGATGAATATACACGCACTGTATATAGTTGGGTGTGCATGATTGTTTACACTCTTTTAAAAATTTCGCGGCCATTTTGGGTAATGAAAAGTGCTCAATGTCCCAGAAGTTAGTAAAATCTAAGTTGACTTTTCTGACCTAAAAGACTATATTTTTTTCAAATAATTACAAAAATAACATAGTATTGTTCATCTTTTGGACCCATGGGAGTGACAACTTGAAGGGCTTACGCCCTCACCTAATGTCAAGCAACAGGTTATTGGCTAACAAAAGATCAAAAGAAAAAGAAAAATCACACATGCTTTTAGTTAGACTAATTAAACGAGAAATATGATAATTTCACTGTAATTCTTCTTATTATTATCATTAGCAAATTTGCAACCCGAGGGTTGGATGAATACATTCTTTGCATCATAGTTGAATAAAACCATCAGTAAATAAGAATAAAAGAATATGAAAATGATTGTTTTGGCGGCCATTTTGTTTTTTCAATAACAGAAATGAATTAGTATAGAACTCAGTTAATTTTACTTTTCTAACCCAAAAGCATACATTTCGGTATTAAAAGTTTACTGGAAAGAACATTGCCGAGTTTGGCTATTGGATTTTTTGGAGTGGGTGGATTTTCGTCATGTTGTATTGTGCAATACCACTACTGACGTCATCAGTGAGTGTCTTAAATTTATTCATGCTATTATAATTAACGTTGGTAGTGCTCGTTTTTGTGAAATTTGGTTAAGCATAAAAGTGATGAGTCAGCAAACATGTATATAATAAAGCTGTTCGTTATATTTCCACAAATATATCTCTGGTTATCATTCATGAAACGATTCTCTGCAACAGAAAGCATTATTTACTGCATCTGTATGCGCCAGCACAAACAGGCGAAAATGTACATTAACTGTAAATATAGATTTGTAGGAAGCAGGTGACAGTAGGTAACAGTACAAAACACTAAGCTATAATATGATATATCAAATTCATGGTATGAAATAAAGGGAATCGGAGAAGACTGATTGTGCCCGGAAGTGACGTGTAGTGGTGTTAGAAGCGAAGCTGAGTGGTCATTTTAACCTGGAGGTGAACGGGAGAGAAGACGTGTAGTCGGAGGAAAAAGAAGTTTTCTAAACAACCTGGTAAGATAACTCTCTTTTTTTTACGCATTTTGGGCAGAGAATACTTGTAGAAATAACAGATGCATGATATGAAAACGTGACACGGAACTTGAAGGTGCAAAAACATGTAGTGCCAGCCTGAGGAAATTGATTGCCAGTCTCTTTTGTCGGTGATTTTAAACTCAGATAAGAGGCTGTCAAAATGTCACCTTTGTCTTGGCATTTGTCACTGATTAGCTCCTCCCCAAGTGTAAAAGGTGTATTAGTGTGATCATATGTGTGGAATTTCATGTCAGATGGACATATAAAGATCTAAAAATTCGTCAAAATATTGAAAAAAGATAGAGCTTTGCACAGCAGTCGGAGATCGGTACGATTCAGTTGTTAGTTACGAACTACTTCCTGGTTTTCATAAGGTCCTTCAAGACCTCTATAACATTGTTATAATTGCAGCCCATACCATAAAACACCCCAAAATACTAAGATATGGACATATCAGATTATATTAATGCCAAATTTCCGCATGACAACGATTTATAAACTCCAGGGAATTATTTTCCCTTAACGCTCTTTGTCGCACTGGTGGTCGATGCAGCATTTATTTCAAAACAAGTTGACCGCAAATTAAGCACGATTTTGCACCTTCAAGTTCCGTGTCACGTTTTCATATCATGCATCTGTTATTTCTACAAGTATTCTCTGCCCAAAATGCGTAAAAAAAGAGAGTTATCTTACCATGTTGTTTAGAAAACTTCTTTTTCCTCCGACTACACGTCTTCTCTCCCGTTCACCTCCAAGTTAAAATGACCACTCAGCTTCGCTTCTAACACCACTACACGTCACTTCCGGGCACAATCAGTCTTCTCCGATTCCCTTTATTGTATTTATTAACTTTCTTTTGAGAAACAAAAGTTAGATAGGATAATAATAGTGGTAAAATTGACTGGATGAGGTGCAGTTTAGGGAAACATTCTTTTATCATAAACATGACCAGTGCAAAGAAAGTGCCGTCCCTTTCACATTTTATGAGCTTAGTCAAGTTTGTTTTTTTTTTTTTTTTTTTTTTTTTTTTTTTTTTTTTGTATAACAACAAATATTAATCAAATGGTCTGTTTTTCCTACCATTCGATGTGGCTTACGTACCCCGAACATACAGGTGGGAACTCTATCGTCTGTTGGGTTGCAGATTATTTTTTCACTAGGTATTCACAGTCATGTCTCTGATTTACCATGTGTAATTGTGTGTATATCGGTTTATACTAGCGCAGGAAATACAATAAATATAATATTATGTTATTCCCAGCTGATGTTCTGCATTTAGTATCAGATAAAGCTCTAGCATTGTGGCCGTTGGACGTTTTAAATAAATATATTATCTGATATCATTTTTTTTAATCAATATCATAACTAACATATTTGATGTGATTACCCCTGTAAGCCAGCCATATGATAACCCCGGTTCAAGTATGAGTTAGAAGTCTGCCTGACGCCAATTTACACCTTTTTTTTTTACTTCTTTACAGTTGAATGTGGGAAAAATGCCGTGTGCTTTAATGCTACTAGTGGTTTACCCGTGATTGAGAGAAATGATGTATGCGATGAAGATATTGGTCTTCACTGCAAATGCATAGATGGATTCGTAGGCGACGGGTTTACATGCACCAGTAAGTTTCATGAAGGCCTCAGGTTGCTGAAAATTCAGACGTCTGGTATAAAAATCAGGGAAGATCATATATATATACAGCTTTCAAGTATTTTATCCACGGATCTGATAGTCCGCAGATCATCTTTGGTTGTGCATGCAGCCATAGATATCAAGGGAATGGGTTCCCTGAGGGTGACCTACTCTTTACAATGTGAACTTCTATTTACAGTGTACCCATCGAACCCCTTATATTATTATTATTATTATTATTATTTTACGTGGAAAGCATACTCAAGACGTGTGTTTTTATGTACTGGATGCACTAAAAAGAGCTCGATTTAAAAGTGTGGACATAAAACATACTGCATTTTTTATTTCTTACAGATAAGACGAAATGAAGTTCTCCAAAAGGAAATTATCAAAGAAGAGCACAGATGGAAGCACAGTTAATTTCGTTGACATGAATCTTAAAATATCTGAGATTGGTGTGTCAATTCAATCATTATAATTGAAAATAAAACATATTGGCATTGCATGAAGTATATTTCAGTGTTTACTTATCACAATATCTTATGCCACTTGTATGGTCTCTATTATGCACATGTTGTCAGCTTGGTTTCTTTTCATTTTATTATGAAGAAAATCTGATCAACAACAGCAGTTATTTAATTTTTGTATATGTGAATATTTTAGACATGATATATGCGTGAAAGTTATGGAAATTCACAGATTTTAAACCCTTTATTCACATCCTTTATTTATCTTCCAGATAAAATTGATATCTGATTTATATATTTCCATATTTCATTGATTCAACAAGCATTACGTGAAACTTATGATCCTTCCGTATCCTTTCCTTTATCATGTGACATGCTTAGCACATGCATAATTTTACAAGTAAATAAAAAAAATCGAATAGAGACTACAAAACCTTTAATAAAGAATAAAATGCAGCTTGGATTCAATATATGGCGCAATTAAATTAACACACTTCATAGACAAACACTTTTTCCATTAGTCTTACAATTAACTTCATATATTCCAAAAACGTCATGCTGGCATACATTATCACGTCAAGCCAGTGAGTGGTATCAATGTAGAGATGGAATAAGGAATTTGATTGAAAATGCTCCAAAAGCAGGCGTGGAGGTTCAGGAGAAATGTCCTGTACTGTTCATTTTGGATATTAAAATATATATTTTTATTTAAATTAATACACCTTAATTTATACCACAGCTGTTCGCACACACGACCGCACGCGCGTGCACAGGAATACAGAGTATGGTCTGACAGGGAGCACTTAAACATGCAGGAGCAGCCAATGTGCCTGCAACACAGTCAACTCTACGAATTTTCTATAGCTGTCATTCTTTGCTAGTGGTTACAAAATGTTGAATTTGACCGAAAATTTCAAACTTTCTCTGGGAAGCTGTAATTTTGCGATGTGATAGCTACACCATCACAGTTTATCATTTCATAAAAAAGGGAAATAGCAGCTGCCCTTTTTAGGGCACACAGGAGAGTTGAACTGCTATACCCACCAAATCCAAGACACGTTACCCTGGGTAATATATTTTGCACAAACTGATGAATTTCTAATGGAATGTTTTCAGTTTTAGTTTAAATCATAAGGGGGTGTTGTCTCTGGTTTTGAAGAATTTAATCCACATTTCATAATTAATAAAAATGGTGAATATGTGGGTCACGGTTACGTTATTGACGCGGGTACAAAAACTTTTTATAATCATGTAAATAATAACAATATTTTTGCTATTATCCATACACACTTCAATCATGAGGGGCACACCACTTTCACATGCTTTTAAAATGGAATTGACAAACACAGAGGAATAATGCACATATTTTGTTAACTGTAACTCTGTCACATGGGACACACACTGAACAAAGTTTATCTAAAGAATGTTCCAGATTATAGTTTTTTTATCAGAATTATTATTTTTTATTATTATTTTAACACAATAAAGTTCAGTTAAATACAAAATTTAACAAAATGAAGTTCAGTGTAACACAATTTATAACATTCTTCCTGACATCTGTGGACCAATGGTGATATCTGTTCTGTGCTCACTAAGGCATCCACTCTCGGGATTCTGAAAAAAAAATCACACAAAGAATCTGTTTACTCTGATAACGAACAATGGATAACCTAAGATCAAAAATAGTTTATTGCTTATTCAAACAAAGTACAGTGCATTATGAGTGGCAAACACACATTACTGAGACACATTTTTTTCACCCATTTTCGGTGATTCATTGCGTAACGTAAGTGTTGCGAGTAATCCATTATTGCTGTTTTTACAGACGGTTAAATTTAAACGCACGGAATACAGTGTAGCAGCTTAATTTAAGACAAAACTAAAAAAAAGTCATTCAATTTCGATGATTGAGTTTTCGAGAACAAGA